GTCTCCCCTGAACTGTGAGCTCCTCGAGAGCAAGCACATCTTAGCTCTGGCCTGGCACTTGGTAGAAGCTCAAAAAAGGCTTCAATAAAATGCATGGGAGCGTTGGCTGATCTACCCCAGAGCTCAGATGTGGCCATCAAGACCCCTGCCCGACTGAGGTCAAAACACCAGCCCAGAGAACGCAGTGGAAGGCCCAGTGTGCCCAGAACTGTCCGCTGACGAAGTCCCGAATTTCTGCTCGCCAGTGGAGTCTGCCATGACCCCATGCTCAGCTGCAGTGTCTGGGGCCAGTCCTTCTTCCCTGAGCCCTCAAATCCCTGCACATCCCCCACCCAGAGCCGTCCGGCAGATCAGCTACAAAACCACTGGTCGTGGGGCCGGACGCCCGAGTCTTGGCTCTGCCGCAACCAGATTGCCGTGTGACTTTGGGCAATAACTTCCTTTACTGGGGCTCAGTTTCCTCACAGGTTAAGTGAAAAGGCTGACCTCCTGAGTCCTTCCAAGTCTGTGAGAGCCTGTTCTCTACAAGCCCACACAACAGGGATCGCCTGATTCCTCAGCGATCCCTTTAGGCTCTACCTTTAAGACATGCCTGGAAACCACCTCCCTCACCACGTCCACCGCCGCCAGGCTGGCCCAGCGTCCACCACCTCAGGCCCTGACAACGGTCTCCCCGTTGGTCTCTCCGCTTCCTCCCTCCACCCCACCCAGTCCATTCTCAGCACCCTAGCCAGAAACCCTCCTTCTAAAGCTCAGTGGGATCCTGGCTCTCCTATGCTCGAACTCCTCGGTACCACCACATCCTGCTCGGGGTCAGAGTCAAAGTCTCAATAAGACTCGCATGGCCCCGCGGGATGTGGGCTTTCATTACTTCTCCAACCCCTTTCTTGTGCTACCTGTCCCCTCCCTCCTTCCCTCCAGTTTCTAGGACATCCTGGACAAGCTCCTGCCACAGGGCCTTTGCACAGGCTGTCGCCCGCCTGGATGCTCCTCCTCGAGATAAGCTCCTGGCTCTCTCCTTCACGTCCTTCAGGCCTTTGCTTAACTGTCCCAACTTGAGAGGCCTTCTTATTTATTTATTTAGCATTAATCCCCATCTGACAGTCTTTGTTTATTGTGTGTCTTCCCACACTAGAGTGTATGCCCAGGAGGGCCAAGATTTTATATGTTGTATCATTCCTTTATACCCAGCTCCCAGAATAGTGGGTACTGGCTAAATACTGAATGAATACATTGACTACAATATATTGAATGGATACATTTTGATCATCTGCAGGTTGGACCATGCTGCTAAAGTGAACAGTCTGGGGCCATACAACCTCCAGCTTGATTGAATGGCATCATCTCAGGAGTCCTTCTGAGAATCCCAAGCTCTGGACACTGTCTCCAGGAATCAAAGTGATTTCTCTAGGCAGGTTTGCAGCTCAGGACATGTGTGGAGGAACAAAGCAAGGAAATGAGCCAGAGAACACTGACTGGACCTGGTCCCAGGAAGTCTGAGGGTCAGTTCATAAGCAAATGCTTCCAGGTGCCTCCTTGTAGGGCAAGATGAGGTTACAAACATGGCCTCGGTGAGGGCACTGGACACCGTCCATGGGGAAGTACAAAAGACTCCAGCAGTGGGCTCGTCCTCAGAACAGAGGGAAGGCCGAGATGGGGAAACGGGGAGCAGGATGCAGCCGGAAGGGGGGCTGCCAGTGCCGAGGGCCTGTGGGCAGAGCTCCAGGGGAGCCCCAGCCGGGACAGGGTGGGTGAGACGGAGCCATTGGCCTCACGCGGCCTCAAGGAGGCGGAGGCGGCTTCTCGCCCTGGCCCTGCCGATCCCGGATCCCGGAGTGCGTGAGCGGAGCACACTCAAGCCCGGCTCTCTGAGAGCCCTGGTATCCTGTGCGAACCTCAACAGGTGACAGGGAGCAGGGACCAGAAACAAAGCTGGAGGAATGCACTGTTCCTGCTGGCTGAGAATAAAGTACACTCTCAGGAAGTGCAGCACCTAAGTCAACAGGCAAAGCCCGGGACTGGGCACGGAGAGGCCCCTGAGATGCGGCAGAACAGAGAGGCGGGACAGCCAGGGGCCGGCAGGGCATTCTGCACGCAGGCAGGGGTGGGGTGGCCGGCCCAGGTCCTGGGCAGCGTGGGCTGTGTTTCAAGGCGCCGCACGAGAAAAAGAAACATGGCTGCGGGAAGTCGTGGGGGCACAGGTGGGGGACTCAGATCCCGCCCAGCTCTCTCCCAGACACGGCAGGGGAACAGCAAAGGAAGGCAGGAAGCGGGCAGCATCTCTGCTGTAGGACACGACGCAGTGTCTGGGAGTCCTGCCTCCTGACCGTGAGCTCCCGCCCCTCCGTGCTCATGGGTGCAGCCTCCCACTCCGGCTAAGCCATCCAACATGCCAATCATCGCAGGCCGGAACCCCGAGCCGCTAACTCTCCCGTCTGCAGCTGGGGTGCCTGCAGGCAGGGTTAAGCTTCTGCAGGTGAAGGAGAGAAGCCCCCGCCCTGCCATGGGCCTCCAGCCTGGGCCGAGGGGAGGCTGGGAGGTCAGCCTGCACGGCGGGGACGGAAGTGTGTCAGTGCTGCTGTGGGCTGAGGTCCTGTCGGAGGCATCGGCTCTCTTCCTCCGCAGGAGGAGATAGTGACCTTGCTGAGACCTCACAGAGACAATGGCAGGAAGCACTCCTCCCTGCGAGAGCTGGGGGAGTCAGGGAGGAAGTGATGACCCAGAGCCGGGGCCTGCAGACCCTCCCCACAGAGGGGGCCGTCAAATGCTAGAAGCTCTGAGCCCCAGCTCAGAACGGCAAACATCTTCACCTTCCACCCGGGTTGGGTGGGTGCCTGAGGGCAGATGCTCTCCCCGGCGGGGACCCCCTCTTTCAGGCAGACCCTCTCTGCAGACGGCCCTGCGTCCAGGCCGAGCAGATGCAGAACACAGCCAGACTGAGCTGAGGCACTCCAGCTGACCCCTGCCCTGCGCCCACCCCACCCCCACCTCCTGGAAGGAAGGGCTCCTGTTCCTTTGGAGCAAGGAGCTCCTCTAAAAATAGATCCTGCTCCTTAAGCCCTTTCAGAGATGAGGAAGAGACTTCACATTCTCAGCCGCGGGGAAGGCCTGCCTCTCCCCAACCCTCCTAACGCATGCCAGCCGGGGCCCAGTGGTCCGGAGGCCTGTCATGGCCACAAACTCCCACGGGGAGCTCAGAGGCGTGTAGGGGCAACCATGATCTTCCCCTCTGCCAACGCAGAGGTGAGACCGTGGGGCGAGTTTCTGGCAACACCAGGGTATAACGTCACGCGGGCGGGACTCCTGCCTCTTCTGTTCCCAGCTTCGTGCCTGGAACCCCAACATGGCACCTGGTCTATCCTGGGGACACAGTAAATGTTCGCGGGATAAATGAGTAAAGCAGAGGAATTCCAGAGCACACTTGGGGCTAAGTGGGGGCCCCCAGATAAGATGGACACAAGGCCACCATCTCTAAAACCCCGTAACTGGGGGATGCAGTTGTTCGGAAGGAAAAGAACTGCCTTCCGGTGGAAAAGGAAACAGGAAGCAAAGTTGCTGTTGTCAGAGCTCAGGCCTCCGGGACAGAGGAGTGCTCACCAGGGCCCCAAGGCCAGGGCGACCTCCTGCGCCCTGCGGTCCCCAGCCAGCCCTCCGCCACAGCCACCCCAGCACTGAGGCTCTGAGACTCTCGGAGAGTGAATTAAAACAAGACAACAAAACAAAAATACAACAGAGCACTCTCTCTTCTTAGCACTTGGAGGCCTTTTTACAGCAACTGAAAAGAATGAGCAATTACAGAGAAAACAGCCCGTGGTGCCAACATGGAAACACAGGAGTGAGGGGGGCACTCGGCGGAGGCCTCGTCTGCTGTGCCCTGTTCCCCAGAAAGGACGGGAGGCCCAGGGGCGGAAAGGGGCTTACCTGGAGCCCCAAGCAAGGAAGGGCGGAGCCTGGGCCTCATCCTTTGGAGAAGCCGGGGCCATATTTGGAAAACCATACCATGTGCTCCAGGGTCTAGACTTGGGGTCCAATCCCAAGCCCACCCCTGACTAGCTGTGTGACCTTGGGCCAGACACTTGCCACCTCTAAGCCTCAGCTTCCTTGTGTAAAATGGGATCCTAATGGATCCGTGTGCTTACAGAGTCAGTGTGTTCGCACTGTGTCCAGGGAGGAGCACCAGTGTCACCCCCCGGCCTCTTCACCCCGAACATCCATCCTCCTTGTCCCCAAAGTTCAGACTGGCTGATGAGCGTCCAGGGAGAGGGGTGTGTTGGAGTTTAGAACAAGAGAAGGCAACACCACTTTCTCTGCTCTACCCACCAAAGGCCTCGGCATGACAAGAAGGGGACGGGGCGAGGCCTGTGTCAGAGACTTGGGGACAGGAAATGGGATGAGATGGACAAGAAGCCCAGGGGTACCCAGGGCAGGAGAGAAAGGCTAAGCACTGGGATCCCGCCTAGGCCACCGCTAACTCTGCGGAGGACCTCAGACATGCCATGCCCCCCCCCATGCCCCCCCCAACCCCGCCCAGCCACTCAGTTTCTCATCCAGGGAAATGCTTACATGAAAACACACGCACATTTTGGTCCGTGTCACTGACTACGGCTTGTGGGAAATGCGGCAAGGCAGCGCCCAAGCCCCTGCCCACTGCCAAGGCTTAGGAACTCTGAAACTCCTGTCCTGCCCTGTTTACTGAGAGTGGGGATCCCAGGCTGGGCCAAGGGCTCCAAGAGAAGAGAAGAGAGGTCCCTCAGGGCATACTGTACAGCAGAGACTCACAAGGGCCATCCAAACGGGTTGTATCGTATCTGGGATCTTAAAGAACCACGGAAAGAACATCAGTCCTACCTACTTAGTGAAGAGCAATCGATATTTGCAAGAAGGAGGATCGATTAATACAATCTACCCCATTAATCAGATAAAGTCAGATGTTTAAGGAAGAGGAAACAGCAAGAGAGCCCCTGCACCCCCAAACTCCAAAGCTAGTGGGCGGTCCTTACCAGTGGGTCCGTGTGAGAAGGCTCCCTCGATGTCCTGCCACAGGAGGAGGGACGACTCGCTAGGCACACAGAAGGGTGTTGGGGACCAGGACACACGTGTCAGCATCCTGCAGGGAGAAGCCAGTGGGGAAGAAGGTGAGACACCAGCTGCTCTGGTCACTCAGGGCAACCCAGCTGGGAAATCGACAGGGCCTGGCCTCATCCTGAGCAACGCCAGAGACAGGAAACCTAGCTATGCCGAGGGGAGAGGACAGGGGGTGCTGGGCTGAAGGAGTCTGCACTCGACAAACGGACCCGTCCAGGATGCGGTCCCAGAGACTGATGCACTCGACACTGCCCAGGGCTCCCTGTGCTTCAGAAGAGAACCAGGACCCACACCACCAGCACACAGGAGCTTTCTCAGCACTGAAGCCCAGCTCGGCCTCAACCCTGAGATTTTTCACCTATCAACCTCTGGGACTGCAGGACCCCAGGCTGCAGAGGGAAGGCAAACAGAAGAGAAGTAGGGAACGGCAGCCTAGAGCTCTTGGCCACCAGCCGGGAGCATCCTGGTGCCCGGGGCGGGGTCAGGAGCAGCGTCACGGGGTGATGCAGACAACTCTCTCCTTCCCATCAAGTCCCTGCAGTTGGGCGGTGTGTAACTGGAGACCCACCTCCGCCAGATATCCAGAGGCCAGAGATGAACACGCACAACATGATGGAAAAGGTGGAGAAATGGATTTCTGGGGAGTCCTGGGTGCAATCAGCCTCCAAGACATCAGAAAATTCACAAGCACCACTAAAGCCGCCACCCAACCCGGGGCTCCCACCATGGCCCACACTTGCAACTCAACACATGCTTGTTTGTCTGACGCACTTGCCAGACCTCATACGGGGCCCAGGTAGCGGGCAGCGGCCAGGGAGGCTTTCCCCTGACTGTGACCAGAAGGCAGCCCCCCCACCAACCCGCCGCAACTGCAGGCTGTAGAAGTCATGGTTCTTTAGGAACCAATCCTCAGCTCCAGAGAGACCCCCGCCAAGAGCTGAGGCCAGGCCCCAGCGGCTCCAGGGACACCAGCCTAGGCCTGCAGGGTCTGGACAGGGGCACAGGCAAAGTGAGGGGCATTCCTGGAGGTTCGGGACAGCAGAAGTGATCAAGTGCCAAATGAGGGCACAGGCAGTAAGAGTTCAGAGGAGGGAGAGAATCTAACTGGGGATGGCACAGCAGTGGGAGGTGTGGCTGCGAGCAGGGGAGACCAGCTTTTCACACGCCCACCCTCTGCAGTGCAGGCCCACACTCCCGGAGGAGCCACGGCCAATTCTGCAAAGTGCTCTTCAGGCCGGGCCTGCAGGAGTTGAGGCTCCGTCTTGGCCGTGCGCCTGCCCCTCCTGTCCACAGCCACACTCCCATATACACGCTTGGACCCGCAACGCACAAAATGTCTCAGGGGTCCCAGGTCCCCCGCCCCCGGCTGGGCATGCAGGGGAGGGGGAGAAGGGGGGAGCTCCAGCTTCTCTCCTCTACGTTCCACCGAATTCCACAGCTCACTGCATGCACACACGCCCTGGCTCCCTGTGGTTTCTCCGTTCTGTTTCTTCGCTTCCACCACAAAACCTCTAAACCCAGTGTGAGGTCAGTGTAAGTCTCCACTGCCCCCATCTCCACAACCCCCCCCCCGCCCCCCCCCCCCGGCTTTTCAGAGGTAAGGAAACCTGCGGGGAGGGAAGGGCCTTTGCCATGGTAACACACCAGTCAGTGGCAAGCCGGATTCTGAAGGCCGGCCCCCCTCCACTCCACCAGGACGCCTCTGGTGGGTGAGAAGGTCAACTGTGACTCAACCCAGCAGAATGAGATCTGCGGGGGCTGCGAGAGAAAAACGCGCACTCCTTACAGAGAGGTGCACCGTGGGGAAATCATTTTTCTGACAAAAAAAGCATTTAAAGTCCAAAAAGTGAATGCAGGATCTGCTTAAGGAGTGAGTCGGCGCCTCGGGGAACCTCTAGGGGAGGTGGGAGGGGAGGGGGGCACAAATCATCACTGGAATGAAATCGGAAGATATTGCCAGGTTTCCTCCATGACCCCTCACAAGAAAAGTAAAAAGTCCACCAGCCCATCCCTTAGGGAAGATGAGAAATCACAATAAAACACAAGCCGTTGCTGAGAACTGTTGCATGCACCTTCCATGCACACCTGTCGTTGTTGTGGTCTGGGGGCGGGGGCGGGGTACGGAAACCAAATAAGACGTGGTGGTGTATTTGTTGCTGATGATCAGGAACAGAAAGAAAACATGTTACGCCTTTAAGTTTTTCTCCCCAGTTTTATTGAGATATAATTGACAATCCAGTGATATATTTAAAGTGAATGAGACAGGATGTTTGACACACCAGGGAGGGTTCCCACCATAGAGTTAATTAACATCCATCACCTCATAGAGCTACGTCTTTTTGGGAGGGGGGAGGGGGAGAACACTTAAGTTCTATCCTCTTAGTGAATTTCAATTATACAATACAGTATCATCAACCATACTCATCCTGTTACACGTTAGGTCCTCTCCTTGACGTTTCAAAAGCTAAATCTTCATTACGCCTCCTGAATGATTTGGAAAATGGCCGGGGGAGGGGGTGTGTGTGGGAAAAAAAAAATGAATAAAACCCACCTTTTGGAGGAGTCAGAAGGGCTTCCCTGAAAATTTCTCGGATCCCTCACTGATTTCAGTTAGTGGACACGAATTAGTAAGTGAATCTGTTTCTCTATACAACTTCTATTAATAGGATATCGGTCTCTTCTCATCCCCACTAAATAAATGTCAAACAAACACTTAAAGAATACTGGTTTGATGGGGTGCCAAGCTACTAGCTTGCCCAGACGTCTGTATGTCTCGGGCATAAGTTCCAAACGAGTGGGTGGTGTAACTGAAGTTAAACACCGTGGTTTCCATCCCCCGTTGACATGGAGACCGGGAGGCAGAGGAGCGTGCACAGACGGACAGATGCGGAGGGTGGGGGGTACCACGGCCCACCACGTGGGCTGCTGGCCCAGGCCGGGCCGCCACAGCCTTTCCTTCCTTCCTGACGCACGGCTCCTCGTTATTGAGATACAGTCTGCAGGCCATACGTTCACCCTTTTAAAGTGTACAATTCGGCGCATTTAGCGCATTCCCAAAGCTGCACGGCCAGCCGTGCTCTCTAGTTCCAGAACACTTCTTTCAACCCCGAAGAGAGACCCATACCTTTTACCACGCACTCTCGGTCCCCGCTCGCCAGACCCTGGACAACGCCAACCTGCTTCTGTCTCTATAGATTTGCCTGTTCTGGGCGTTCCATACAAATGGGCATGTAACACGTGGCCTTCTGTGTGTCTGAGCATCGTGTTTTCCAGGGTCATCCGTGCTGTAGCAGGGGTCAGCGCTTCCTTCCTTCTTATGGCCGGGTCATAGTCTACTGGAAGAACATCCCATGTTCTGTTTATCCATCCACTGGAGTTGCTTCCACTGTGGGGCTATTGTGAACAGAGACCTTCAAAGTTGAGAGCCCTCAAGTGAGGAAGGAAGCATTAACAGGGCCATCAGAAAGCTGTTAGGAGCAATTTTCCTCCCAGGGGCAAAAGGCAAAGCAGAGGCCGAGGAAGAAACCCGGGCCTGGGAAGGCAGACCAGGGAAGAGAAACTGAACAATACCTCCTTGGGCGTGCAAAAGTTCACGGGGGAGAAAACCAGCGCGTGCGCGCACACGCACACACACTCACAACAAAAAGGAGAAATTCTTAGCCTGCAGCAGTTGGTAGCATTATGTAAAATTCCAAGCCCACAAAAATATCATTTGGATGATAAAAAGTTAAATTTAGCTAAGTACAGAGTGACTAATACTATGAGGGACAGGCGGCACCCCCAGTTGCCTGGAGCTGATACAGCTGGCTTCTAGAAACTTTTGACAAGTAACCAGGGCCTGGTGCGGCACAGAATAACAGATTATATAATAGGGGGCACAGCCACTAGCGATACAGAATAGACCGTGAGCGCGGCAGCCTCTGGGAGGGAGGGGACAGCCCTGCTCTGGCTTGAGCTTCTCCAGCAGAACCTCGCCTCCGGAAGCCCGGGCCGCAGGCATCTGGGCATCCAGAGGCATCCGAGAGGGGAGCCAGGCCTTGGAGGGTGTGTGCGAGCGGGCCCACCGGCCTCTCTGCAGAGATCTTTTCCCAGAGTGGTTGTGGCAGGTGGTTACCGTGGCGGACCCAATGAGCCGCGGCCTCGCGCAGTCCCGGCCCTCTGAATCTAGTCTGGCCCCAAGCCCCGTTCTAACCGACAGAACGGGCTGGAAGTAGCCCTGGGCCAGGTTCGGGCCCCAGCCTTGAGGAAGGCCTGGCCAAGAACTGAGGGCAGAGAGACTCAAACAGATATTTGCACACCTCTGTTCAGAGCAGCAACCGTTCACGAAAGGAAAAGGTGGACAGCACTCAAGTGTCCATCCACGGATGAATGGATAAACAAAACGTGGTCCGTCCACAGTGGAGTATTGCTCAGTCTTAAAAAGGAAGACCATTGGGGCGCCTGGGTGGCTCAGTTGGTTAAGCGACTGCCTTCGGCTCAGGTCATGATCCTGGAGTCCCGGGATCGAGTCCCGCATCGGGCTCCCTGCTCGGCAGGGAGCCTGCTTCTCCCTCTGACCCTCCCCCTTCTCATGTGCTCTCTGTCTCTCTCATTCTCTCTGTCTCAAATAAATAAATAAAATCTTTAAAAAAAAAAAAAAAGGAAGACCATTGTGGATGAGCCCGGAGGACACAAGCCAGTCACAAGTGAACAAATACCGCATGGTTCCACCCACCTGAGGTACCCCGAGGAGTCTCGTTCACAGGGACAGAAAGTAGAAGGGTAGGCGCCAGGGGCTGGGGAGGGAGGGAGAGTTGTTGTGCAATAGGGACAGAGCCTCAGCCTTGCAAGATGACAGAGTTCTGGAGGTGGGAGGGTGGTGAAGGCCGCACAACAGAGGGAATACACCTAATGCCACTGAAATGGACACTTGGAAATGGCTAACATGGTAAGTTTTATATTGTGTGTATTTTACTACAATAAAAAATCAGATTGAAAAAAGGAGGCGGAGGAGGAGGCCTGCATGCTTCTGTGTTTGTGTGC